GGTGTGGTCAGCCCCGTAGGTGAACATTCAGGTTTAAGGCCAGGCTGTTCGGCGGTGGCTCCTCTGCTCACCGCTACCCACTCTCGCGTTAAAGCAAGGGGCCCCCGCCCTGCAGCTCCGGCCTCTCTCCTGAGAGCAGGGGGTTCAGGGTCCACAAAGGTGGGGCTCACAATGGGACACACAGTGACGAGGTAAGCAAGTCATTGAATCTGGGTCCCCAAAGCCCCAGGACACCCCTAGCTGGCACCTACCGACGGCTGCACTGAGGCTGGGAGGAGAGGGGCCCGGCTGGGTGCCCGATGCAGGGAGCTGGGGACCCTAGCGTGGGTCCCTCCTGACCCGGGAGACCAGGCGAGTCTCTGGGTTTGCTGCTCTGCCAGCCTTTCCTAATTCTCCTCCCAGAGGAATCCTGGTGCACACCACCCACCGGACTCAGAGGAAGAGCTACTGCTGCCTGTCCCAGGGACAGCCACTCGTCTACTTCCCACTCGCTAGCGGCGCAAGAGGAGGACTTACTTGAGGGGATACATCCTCAGGGCGACTCCCATCCCAGGGCAGTAGGAAAGGAAAGCAGCGAGGGCCGTCTCCTCGAAGAGGCCAAATATCAGGATCTTGTTCCTGAAATCAAGGGGGGTAAATGCTTAGCGAGGCAAACACACGTTCATCTTCTCCTGTGAAGCGTTAAAAGGCAGATCAGTCCTTCAGGTACTAGTTGCATTTAGGACCTCGAGGTCAATGGAAAAAATGTAGGAAACCCCATTTGCTCCCCAGGCCAGATCCCAGGGACTCGGCCAGGTGCCGAAAGGGTTTAGATAGACTGGGGCCGTACTCACTTCATCCCCTGCTGGAAGACGGAGTTCCTCCGGGTCTTGCAGATGACCAGGTCGGCCCACTGCACCACCACGATGCTGACAAAGAAGGCCGTGTGGCAGGTGAACTCCACGATCTTCCTCTGTTCGTAGGTCTGCAAGGCACAGGCGGATGGCTCAGCGCGGCTGTGGCCGCCGGCCTGCAGCTCGAGGCGCGGGTCCGAGCCTCACTCACCCACTGCTGCCCGTAGCTGTCCTCCACGTCGTTGATCCAGCGGTCGTCCCAGTCCACGCGGATGCCCAGCAGGTTGATCGGCAGGAAGCCGTTCTCAGCCAGAATCACAAAGTAAGTGAAGAAGCCCCCCAGGGCCTGGATCATACCTGAGAGGAGGGGAGACGACCTTCATGCCAGAGCCTGGGCGTCTCCACCCCCTTCCTCTGACGGGGCAGCAGGCCTGGGGACCTCTGGTTGATGAGGCTCAGGAGTGCTACCTGCTTCCTCCCCAGCGAGGACCATACCCAGCGCCCTCTCTACTCTGAATCACCTGCTTAGAACGTAAAAAGGTACGACAGGTGGGCCCTGCTCGTCAACACCCCTCTAGTACCTGGGCATCTGCTTCATGCAGGGCGTGACCCTTGAGGAGAATCGCTTCCCTACTTTTCAATCGCTGAGAAGTGGACTTTCCCCCCATCCCTCAACGTCTGTACCCTGTGCCTTATGCCAGCATCCAATCCAACTCATTCCCCCCAGTTCCTCAGCACAAAATGTCACCCCACACCCTGGGCCTGGTCTTCCTTCTGCTCAAAACTAGGTCTTCCTGGCAGAGTCGGATGGGCTACCAGCCAATTCCTTTGCTGTCAGCGGCTGTCGTTAATCTGTCCCACTTCCCCGAGTGCCCACAGCGAGGCGGCCCCCGAACCAGAACAGGGGGCTCGGCAGAGTGTTAAGATCACAGGCATTTTCACTGCCCACCACCCGGGGCCCGTTAACTGGCCACGCTCCGCAGGCGGAACAGAAACCAAGCCCAGGGTCACCACTGGGTAGTGGCCGACCAGCCAACCTTTAAACCCAGGTCATTTCTTCAAAGCCTTCCTCTCTAGCCAGATTAGTGATGGGCACCGTGTATGCCAGGCAGTGCCCAGTGCTGGGCCCCGCGTCCAACACCAGAAGGGGCAGCCGGTTAGGAGTCCCTCCCCAGCCCCGCCCAGGGCATGGCCATCCTGGCTCTGAGGCGGCGGCGCCACCCCAGCCTCTGTCCCTTCGCCTGCTTCCTGCTCGCTGGGCTGCTCACCAATCTGCCCGTAGGCCATGCTGATCAGCCGCTCGTTCACCAGCTTGTCCGTCTTGGGGTTTCGGGGCTGTCTCTTCATGATGTCGCTCTCAGCCTGCTCGTAGGCCAGGGAGATGGCAGGAACCTGGGGAGGGAGGGATGCCAGTCATCAACCACCTTGTAATAAAATCCCTGCCCCTGCTTTTCCATGAGATATTACAGCCCCCCCCCCACCCCCAAATAAAACAGCAGGATTATACACAAGGCAAGACTCCTGTCTGATAAATAGGTGTTGACAGTTGCCCTGAAGCATAACATTGAGTCTCTGATGCTGGGAATTACTAATGGTGGTCAGGTGGGCCCGGGGAGCACAGATGTGGCCCCTAACACCAGGCTGTGTGGACGCGGACGCTCACTCACCATGTCGGTGCCCAGGTCGATGCAGAGGATGGTGACGGTGCCCAGCGGCAGCGGAATGTTCGCAATAATAAATATCAGGAAGGGGGTGATCTCTGGAATGTTGCTGGTCAGGGTGTAGGCGATGGATTTCTTCAAGTTGTCGAAGATCAGACGACCTAGGAAGGCAAGGTTTTTACCGTCTCGCTGACAGCGTAGACTGCGCACTGCCCATGCCCACGCTGTCCGTGCACGGCAATGGATCCTGACCGGCAGGGCCGGGACGGGCGTGTGGCGAACAGTTTACACGGAGCCCTCACCTTCCTCGACTCCAGTCACAATTGAGGCAAAGTTGTCGTCCAGGAGAATCATGTCGGCGGCTTGCTTAGACACGTCCGAGCCGGCGATCCCCATGGCAACCCCAATATCCGCCTTCTTCAAAGCTGGAGAGTCGTTGACACCGTCACCAGTCACAGCCACGATCGCGCCCTACCAGGAGGAGGAGGAGGGGCGCGGGTCAGAGCCGTGTCGACGGCACGAGGGAGGTGCCCGCCTCCACCTGCCTTTCCCCGTCAGACACGGCTCCTTCCCCATAGACACGCAGTCTCAGACCCACAGCTGCTGCCCAAGCCACCGAGCAGAGGAGTGACAGCACACTCATCACCCTCCTTTAACGAGGGCTACCGGCCAGGACTCGGTGAGTGGCACTCGGGGAAGCCCTCTTCTCTTACCCCCCCCACCCCCTTCAAGGTCACTCCTCCTGGCCCCTCCAGCCAGTGTGGACAGGGGCCTGGCTGCCCCCCAGCGAAGCGCGTGTCTCCACTAAACCGCTATCAAGTTGCCCTTTTCTCCGGGCCTCTCCGTGGCACACGCGTGTACTGAGTCTGAGGAGAGCCGGGCTGTGTCTCTCCGACGGCCGCTTTGCCCTTTGTCTGTCCCGGCCGCGCACTGACCTGCCGCTGGCAGCCCTCCACGATGATGAGCTTCTGCTGCGGGGAGGTCCTGGCGAACACGATCTCCGTGTGGTACTTGAGGATGTCATCCAGCTGCTCGGAGGTCATGTCCTTCAGGTCTGTCCCGTGCACCACGCAGGCCTTGGCGTCCCTGGGATCAGAACCGGGGGAAGGGTCACCCGTCACGTCCCCGGCATCTGCTCGGCCCAGAGGTGGCAGGACACTCGGTGAGCGGCGCCAAGCCGGGGATGGTCCCGTCCTTCGGAAGCTGTTCTCCGCACTGTATCTCGTAGGTTACAGAGCGCTTTCATTCTATTACTTCTCTCTGGGCAGCCCTGCCCGGCACCTCCTCTCCCCGTGAAATACACGGTGAAATCGTATGACTGAGTTTTAGACATGAGCTGAGGAGAGATGAAACCTTCCCGAGCCCCAAAGATGGGCGAAGGGGCCCTAAACCTTAACACATGAAAAACAAACCTATTTCTATTTTACCTTTTGCCAAAATTTCCCTGTTGGCCCTGAACTACAGTGGGGCCTTGACTTACGAGTTTAATTCGTTCTGTGACGGATAAGTCAAGGCCCCACTGTACCTGGGCAACTGTGTCTTCTGTTTGTGGAACTGGAATTGGTGAGGTGCTAGGCAGTACTGCCCAGTGGTCAGCGGCGTGACAGAAGGCAGACGGCCGGGTGCGCTGCATGACTAACCCCCGTGTCCCCGCCCTGCCCGGTGGGGCTAGCACCCACCTGACCACGTTACACCATCACGTGCTCAGGACAGTGACACCACCCGAGCTGGCCGTGACGACTGGCTCAGGTCACTTTTGGGCCCTGGGGGGCATTTCCCTACTCAGGGGTGACCTGGAAGGAAACCACGCCGGCCCCGGCGGGAGCTCTCACCCCACCGTCTGCACGCTCAAGGCCGGCTCCGCTTTGCGCTTCCTGCTCACCTGGGGTTCACCTGGCTCACGGGGATGTTGAGGCGGCGGCAATGTCCTCCACGGTCTCGTTGCCCTCGGAGATGATGCCCACACCTTGGCATGGCTTTGGCCGTGATGGGATGGTCCTCCGTGACCATGATGATCTGTGACAAGGAAAGGGAGGACGTTAATCGGGCGCAGTTGCGAGCAAACACACCGAGGCCTCGAAAGGATCCCCATTCGAGGTCGGGACAGCTTGTCCGACCTGAACAAGGAGCGCTCACATCTTGGGTTCAGGAAAGAAAGCACAGAGACCAACCCCAGGTTTCGTCCTGGTACGTGACCACGCAGGATACACAGTTTATCTTCCGTTGACACACTCAGATAGAAACTCTCCGATTTACCCAAACCAGCAAAATAGGACACAACTCCGATGCGGGTGGGACTGCAGGGGGAAGGCGCCACCGGCACCTCGGAGGGGCCCAGATTGGGGGGAGAGCGACAAGTTGTTACTACTCTCTCCGACCCAAGGGCTGTGCTTAGGAGTGCACCCAGGAGGCCATGATCAGCGACAGGGAACCCTCTTCAGAGTCGTTCAGGGCAGTGTTCACGACTCGCGAGGATGAAAAGCTTCCCCAGCGTCCGGACTCCTGCATAGTGACCCACGGCTCTGCCCGGGAGGTACAGCTCCACCAACGTTCAC